AGAATCAGTACAGAATTCTTTTAGATCTTCAAAGAAGAACTAGATTCATTATTCCTATTATTTTGTAAAATAGAAAAAGGAAGAAACACTTCCAAATTCCTTTTATGAAGTCATTATTTCCATATACCAAAATCAGACAAAGCCCCAACAACAACAACAAAAAGAAAATTACAGGCCAATCATTATGATAAATATAGATGCAAAAATTCTCAGCAGAACACTTGCAAACCAAATTTAAGAGAACATCAAAAGATCATCCATTATGACCAAGTTGGCTTCATCCTAGAGATGCAGTAGGTTCAATTTATGTAAATCTATAAATGTAAAACACTATATAAATGGACTTAAGGGCAGAAATCACATGATTATCTCATTAGATGCAGAAGTCTTTTGACAAAATCCAACATGAGAAAATTCATGGAGAAACTAGGGGTGCATAATAAAGGCAATATACAACCCCACTACAACATCACAGTAAATGGAAGGAAAACTCAAAGCTTAGCCACTAAACTCAGGACCAAGACAAGGATGTCTACTCTCCATTCCTGCTCAATATAATGCCTAAAATCTTAGCTAGAGCAATGAAACAAATGAAAGAGATAAAGGGCACACAAATTGGAAAGGAAGAAGTCAAAGTATTCTTATTTGCAGATTATATGATTCTATGCATAAAAAGACTCTACCAGAAAATTCTGAGAGTTGATAGATTCAGCAAAGTAGAAGAATTTAAAATTAACACCCCTTCCCCTAAATCAGTAGCTTTCCTATGTATCAACAGCAAAACATACTGAGAAACAAATCAGAGAAACAATCCCACTCATGATAGCCTCAAAAAATATAATTGTTTTTGGAAGAAATATAATCAAGGAAGTGAAAGACAGACTTGTCTAACAAAAATTTTAAGAGATTAAAGAAAGAACTGAAGAAGACACTAGAAGATGGATGGCCCTCCCATGCTTATGGATTGGTAGAATTAATATTGTGAGAATGGCCATCCTTCCAAAACAATCTATAGATTCAACAAAATCCCCATTAAAATTTCAATGTAATTTTCCACTGAAATTGAAAAAATAATCTTAAATTTCATATGGAAACACAAACAACCCAGAATAGACTAAATGATGCTGAATAATAAAAGAAGAGCTGGAGATATAGCCATTCCTGATTTCAAATTATACCACAGAGCTATAGCAACAAAAACATCATGATACTGTCATAAAACAGGGTCACTGATCAATGGAATAGAATTGAGAACCCAGATTTAAGTTTTACACACTTAAAACCACCTGATCTTGTCAGGGGCCAAAAATACACACTAACAACTAAAAAGTCCAATGCAAGGAATGGCTATCTTTTAGAGCTGTTGCCTGGGGTATCCCATAGACCCTCAAACTATACTGACTATTGCCATTGCTCTTGGCTGAAGACACTACATACCACTGAACATGGAGAAATGAAACTGATACTAACCTAGCAGCTGCATCCCTACTGGCTAGCTTTCACAGTGCTGGAAAGTGCTATGCACACTACCATATGAGAAAAGTAATCATCAATTCTACCCAGCTGGAACCCTGTAAGCTACTATAATGACTGGCCTGGCAAGATATGCCCACTGGTGCAACAGTGGCACAAATGTTATAGGAGTAATCAACCACTTTATGATTGGATTTAAGGCCTGTTTCACAAGATGGAACACATACCTGGTACCATTATCAGGGCCAAGAACACGTAGCTAGATAGGTCAGAGGCCATAGGTGAGAGCCCAATACTATTATTTGGCTAAATGGGAATAGTATTAAACCAACTCCTAATCATTTGTTAGTAGATCCATAATCAGTACCTCTCTCAACTCTCATCAGAGAAGCTCTTTTTATCACAGATGTTGATTAAAACAGAGACTCACAACTGGTAAATGTGCAGAGAATAAGAAGGAACATAGTGCTTAGTCTTAAATGAGACAACTATATCACACCTTTTCCCCAAAGGCTCAGGGAGCATCTCAGAAGAGGGATGGAAGGATTGTAAGAGTCAGAGGCTGTGGATGACTACATGAAACAGTGTCTCTTAGACACAACAGGGCACTTGCCCATATGAATGCTGTGGGGTTCCTAGAATACATGCAACATGACCACAAGTTTAAAATAGACAAAATTCCAGCATGGAGGGGGGAGGTGGGAATGAGGCCCCACCACCAGCTGAGGGACTATTGGCAATTGTTAACTGCTAGGAGAGGGAAACAGTTTTTTTAAGGGTATGACTCTTGATGGATTGACTATTCTCCAGGGGATGTACCTACACCCAAGAGTATATGGGGAACATAAGTTGGTCTTGACTGACTTTTTAAAAAAATATAGAGAACTCAGGGTTGAAGAGATGGCTCAGTGGTTAAAAGCAATGGTTGTTCTTATGGAAGATCCAGGTTCACATCCCAGCACCTACATGGTGGCTGACAACTGTATGTAATTCCAGTTCCAGGGAATCTGACACTTTTCTTTTGCCCTCTTTGAGCACTGAATGACACATGGGTGCACTTGCATACATACAGGGGTAACACTCATACACATAAAATGAAAATAAACAAAAAGCAAAATAAAAAAAGAGATCTTGAAGTGGGGTGGGGGTACGGATGTAGGGGTAGATCTGAGAGGAGATGGGGAAGGGGTCGAATATGATAAAAATACATTGTATAAACCTCAAAGAATCAATAAAACATTTAAAAAAGATTTTAAATCTTAGTAAGTTGTATACTTTAGATATTTCCATTTTATGTAAACCTTATTGACATAAAATTTCTTATATTACCTGATTATCTGTCAATGTTTGTTGAATTCATTCAGGCTATTTTCTTTTTATTTCTTAAGACTGCTAACGTATATCTCTTAATAAGTCTTGTTAGGTTTGATTTTTATTAATTTTATTAGTCACTTTCTGAGAAACTACACTTGTCTTTATTCATTATCTGTATTATTTGGGAGGTATAGACACTAATTTAGAGCAAGTTTGTCTATAGCTGCCACCCTGGGTAGCTTGATGGGGTAACTCAGGGAGTCAAACGTTGTATGTGGCTCTGCCGGAGTCAGAGAAAAGTAACATAGCCACTTGATGCTAAGATTATAAATGCTTATCCTCTCCTGTTAGTCCAGAGGTTAGCCCCAAGGCAAATATCTGGACTTGTGATGATGCTAATATAGTTCCTGTTTCAGGGCCTAGAAATCCTCAAATAGACAAAAATCTGATAGGTTACATGGAGCTGCGTCTGCTGTCTCCTTGGGTTTAATCACGGGAAGACTTTTTTTATATGTGATGCTTAGTCCTGGGGAGCCCATCAACCCATTAGCTTATTTCTCCTCTTTCCTTTCTCTTCCCGCTCCCCTTTTCCTTTCCCTCTCCTTCCTTAATTTCTCTTTTTTTTCTGGTTAGAAGAACAGTAGTATCTTATGATTCAAATACATTAAAAATAACATTGGGTTTTCAACCTAACAAATATTAAGAATAAACTACTCTTTTTCTAATTTTTAATAGGAAAAATTCATTTTAATTGTAAAAAGCGTTACCTTTTATTGGAAAATAATGAAGTGCAATTCTTGTCCAAGTCAGTTGAGATGTGATTTAGTTGACTTCTTTTTTTTTTTTTCATTGTGATTTTGTAGGTGCCATGGTACCATGTGAGGATGCCATTAGGCACAGAGGAACAGAAAAGCAGGAGAGGCCAGTGCAAATAGCAGAAGTGGACGAGGTATGTTAGAACTGACAACCTGGTGTCTGACTGCCTCAAGTCCCTAGAAAGCTTAGCCTGGAGTCTTCTGTGGCTCCTCAGGATCCAAGTAACATTATAACAGTAAGGTGACTGAGCATTTGCTAAGTAGCTGCTATGCCTTCTATGTTGTCCTCACTTTTACATAAATTATTTAATTTCGCACTGAATAAAAGACCCACTATAGAAGGCCCTTGGAATCTGCAGACTTGGCTGTCATGGTCTCCTAGCCTACCTGTTTGGTTCTCCCTCCCCTTACCTCCTGTGACTGGTCCTCCTCTGCCTAGTTATACCCATCTTAGAATTTGCTGGGTTATTTTGAGTTCCTTTTCCATTTGAAATTCCTGTCCTCCATCTCTTCACCTCACTTTTATCTTCATGGGACAATGCTGACTTAGACTAACCTGGTAGGTATGACTCACATGAGTCAATTCTAGAACTTTCTGTCTCTACAGCTCCTAGGTGAAGCAACTTCTCCTCCAGATGAGCTCTGGACACCAGCAGCTTATTTGCATTTGAAAATTAAAATGATAATGCTGCATTTAGATGCATATGAAGGAAAAATAAATGGTGGTGTCCTAGACAAAAACCTTTCTTTGTTTGTTTTTTGAGACAGAGTCTCACTATGTAGCCCTGGTAGATCTGGAACTTGCTGTGTAGACCAGGATGGTTTCAAATTCATCAAGATCCACCTGCCTCTGTGTGAAATTAAAGGCATAAGGCACTATGCTTTGCAAAATTTGTTTTTAAACAACACAAATAGGTGCCTTAAATGTATTGTGTCTTGTTTACATTCTAAGAGGTTTGGGTTACTAAATTGTTAAGTGAAGAAGTCAGAAGTTTAAATTTGGCAGAACAACAAATTTAAAGACGTCTCCCTGGCTCCTCCCTTTGGTTAGCACAATTACAATGTCAAGTGTTGATTTTGTCAACTTCTAAAACACCACCTCAATGTGGGTATTCATATTTTTGGAGCATTCACCCAAAACAGTAAGGTTTATTCTCTCCCTTGGTGTTAATTCTGGGTTATGAAAGAGCTCAGCTTATCTAAAGGTAGTCAGTCTGGACTTTGGGAGGGTGAGCAGAGATAGTTTTTAAAAGGGAGTGCTGTTTCTTTAAATTCTGAATGTGAACTTGGCTCAGGAAGGCCAGCAGCTCAAGGTCCAGCCCCTAGAAGAGAGAATAGCTAGATTCTCCATCCTCAGCCTTTGCAAAGAGAAGACTGCCAGCTGGGCTCTGGCAGGCTCCTGGCAGCATGGCGGTGCCGCTCAGAACCCTCCTGCTGGTGTTTGGGCTCACCCTGGTTCAACCAGCCTCTGCCCACCGGAAGCTCCTGGTGTTTCTCCTGGATGGTTTTCGCTCAGACTACATCAGTGATGAGGCTTTGGAATCCTTGCCTGGTTTCAAAGAGATTGTGAGCAAGGGGGTAAAAGTGGATTACTTGACTCCAGACTTCCCTAGCCTCTCCTATCCCAATTACTACACCCTAATGACTGGTGAGTACCTGCCATATCCTCTTCTTGGAGGGGAGGGGATGGCTAGAGTTTGACATTGGGAATCATATTTAATGTATACCTTTCCCAAGTCCCCGGGGAGTCCAAAGATAGGCAATAGTTTATGTTCCCAACTAAGAGTTTTGAGTTATTTCTGTTTTGTCACACGCTGTTCCCCAAAAGTTCTCCCAAGGACCTAATTTGGAATTTCTGTATAGAAAAGAGATAATTATAGCAATAGATAATGTTTGGTTATTTGAAAAGTGGTTATTGTTTGTTTTACAAACAAAAATTTTAGATAAGTCTTTGTTTTCTAAGTTCAGGTATAAAGATGGAGAGGTTTCCACGCACATGTACTGAATTCCACCTGTTCCTTTGCTGCCATCTTGCAGTCCTGCAGGCTGATTTGTCAATGTGCAAGGCTATAATGATTATGCCCAGGGTCCTCAGCAGGGAGCCTTGTGCCTCAACAACTTGAAGAGGACTTTTATGTCTCATCCTTCAGTGTTACTTAGCAATGCCACTTTCCCTTTTTGGCTTTCTGGGCCAAGTAAAATGATGCACAGATGAAAATAGTTGTTGCAGAATTTAGATTCTCCATTTTAAATGTCCAGTACCTACGAAAAATAAGGAAACCTAACAAACGAGACCTAACAAAACTCCAGCTAACCCAGACTGCCTAGGTTGGGGAGAGTGGATTTGCCTGAAAATGACCTACCTCCATCTGGAATTGCCAGAACTCTAAAGGTCCCAGGAGCCTAAGCCTCTATCTGAGTAGTAACACACATGGCCTCTCTCTGCACACAGTTGGGAGTCCCAGCTTTTGGTTTTGCAGCTAACCTTTGCAAAGGCCAGAAAGAGGCTCTCAGAGACATTTTTAGCCGGCCATCATTGTTATTGCTGGTTATGAAGGACTTAACTATGTGTTCTGAGCCCAGGGAAAACTTCGAAATTATGTTCCCAGACAGGAGATGAGAACAATAGTATCTCATTACAGATTTCCACAGAACTCTCAAGCCAAAGGGTTCTGGAAATATGGAATGATAGCGTTAGCTGTGTGTTCCAGTCACAGAAGCAATCCAATAAATGGTGGTAACAGAAACAGGTTGAGAAACACAAAACACCATAAACTGATTCTCCAAATAAAGGAAATATGTAATTTGGAGAATTAGAAATAAAGACATGGAGGAGGAAAAAAAAAATCAGGGTGCATACAAACAAGGAATTTATTTGTGGTTTGTTTTTTTTTTCAGCAGACAAACAACCAGTCTCTAAGATAAACAGAATTAACAAAAGACTCTCTGGTCCTCACTTGGCCTGCTTCTCTACGCTCATAGGGAAACAGTTTGTAGGGTGCTGGGTCACACATAGATACTATTGTGTGTTTGCAACCCAATTCTGTGCCGGGAGTTTCACACACACTGGCCACCCCTTCTCCAGTTGTCTTTCAGAGCCTTGCTGGGAGACACAATTCATAAACTGACACATGCAGCTTTCTCAATTGCAGCCGAGAATGAACAAAATCCAGTTTAGAAAGTCAGACTCCAGTAAGCAAAAAGGGAGCACTGCAAGCTCCACAGAGACCAGCCAGTGATAAAGACTTTTGTTTTTCAAACCCACATTTGTGATATGGTCACAAGGAAGCATTTGCACAAAGCCTGTGTCATGCTGAGACACATTTTCTTTTCAGGCTACTGGTCTTTGGGGGACTATGTGTCATGCTAAAAGATCCTATAGTCATGGCATAACTTCAGGCTCTGCATTTTGTGTTTTCAAGAGAGAAGGCCCTTCTAATGGAGAGAGACTACAGGTTGGTGTACAGGACAAAGCTCTCCCCTTCCCTTTGACATTGAGGCAAACTGAGGAACCCACAAGACCACCATACATCTTCTGTCTATAAATTTTCAGACAGAAAATATATTATCTGATTTGAAAGTCTGCTTGGTGCATGAGGTGACTTTTCTACTTTCTGTAGAAGCAGTGTCTAGCAAGACTCTTGTTTATGTACAGATGTCTTTGGGAATGATTTGCCTTATACCCACTGGGTGAACTCACAGTTTAGGGAAGAATTTGCAGACTATGAACATTTTATCACATTCACTGTCTTAGAACTGACTGAGGAATAAATTTAGATGATTTTCCTCAATAACCATACTTATTTTTCCACCTGATGTTGAAAAGCTCCATTTTCTCACATAAGGAAGAGAATATCCATTAAGAGTTGTACTTAAACATATGGTTTGAACATTTGAGCATTTTATAAAACAACAAATTTTTTCTGCTAGATCTTTGGTACCAAAAGATAAGGCATTTTAGGGTTCCTCAGAATTCCCAAGAGACACAATGCTCTTATTCTGTTGCTTGAATTATTATTGTGCATAAGACTGAATGCCCTTAATATTCTTTTTTTTTGCATAATGAGGAATAATGGGCTATTTGGTGCAAAAAAAAAGTGCAGGCCTTGGAGTCAGAAGAACTTTCCTGGAGTCCTGGCAGGAAGGACTTTGGCAAGCCTCCATTTTGCCATGGGCCTCTGTTTCCTCAGCTGTAATACAAATGAGATGAACAGCCAGGACCAAACATGGCCTGGATTTCAGGTGCTGCTAGGTGCAGATATGGAAGTAAGCGATGCATGGGCGTTACAAACGTTAAGACTGTCCCTTTCTGTAGTTTTGGTGTGGTTTGTGCCTCAGGGTTCTTCTGCTGGAGGTTTGGTCTGTAGTGTAGTGATACTGAAAAACACTGCTGAAGCTCTGAGACGTGAGGACTTCTGGGAGATCCATAGGTCTTTGCAGGGCTCTGTCTTCAGAAGTATTACAGTAGCTCTCCTGGGATCTGTGAGTTCTCACAAAAGCAAGTTGTCCTCAAAGCTTGGGCCTGACCCCTGCATGTTCTCTAGTTTTGTATGGTAAGATGTGATTTATTTCTCCCATGTGTTCTCTTACCATGATGCTATCTGCCATCAGGCCTTCACCAAAGGCCAAGTCAATGGAGCCACCCAGTCTGGGACCTGTGGGCTGAATAAGTTTATGTTCTTTATAAAGTCCCCAGTCTCAGATATTTCATGATAGCAACAAAAACCAGATTAATACAACCTTCCCAGGAGGACTTCACATAGAAATTAAGCAAATGGCCCAAACTTCCTCAAGAAAGAATTTTATAGGACAGTCACTTGGATGGTGATGGGAAATCAGCAGTCATATTTATGAGCAGCCTTAGAAACTGTCCAGCTTGACATGAGGAAGCCATTGTGCTTGATTATTTTTCCCCCAAACATATTTTCGATAGAACAAAATTCTAATAGTGATTAAGGAGATGAATCCATTGGTTCCTGTAGACACTGAATCAGACAGGGTCTTTCACTCAGGAAATTTTCATTTAGCTCGAGGAACAGCGCCACTCAGAGAAGTGATACCTACTAATATTCTAAAGTAAATGACAATATGAAAAGAACTCATTGTGCTCCACGCTCTGCACAAAGTCAAAGCTGGTATTCCAGTTCCTATACCTCAGAATATAACAGTGTTTAGAGAGACTATAGAAGTGATTAATTCAAAATAAAGCATCAGAGCAGGCTCTGCTTCAATATAACTAGTGTTCTTATGAAAAAAGGAAGAGATAAAAGGAAGAGATGCCAGGTGTGTGTGTGTGTGTGTGTGTGTGTGTGTGTGTGTGTATGTGTGTGTGTGTGTGTGTGATAGAGAAAAAGCCAGGTTATGACATAGCAAGGAGGAGGCCAAAGGGAGAAATTGCAGAAGAAATCAAACCTGCCAACCCTTTATTCTTTAAGTCACTCAGCCTGGAGTACTTTGTTATGGTACTGTTATGATTTGAATCAGGGATAGAAGGGGAGGAAGACTGGACTAACTCAAACGCAAAGGATCAAGAAATAGTTCTTCAATATGCTTTGGAGGACAGAGGAGGGGATTCCCCCTTGTATGGAGTAGCATAAGTAAGTATTTTTTCTGTGTATGAATGTTTTGCCTACATGTATTAAGGGCACCCATATAAACAATGCCTGAGGGAGCCAGAAGAGGGCATTGCACCCTCTGGTACAGGAGTTAAGAATGGTTATTAGCTACCATGTCCTCTGCAAGAACAGCACATGCTCCTAACTGCTGAGCTATCTCTCCAACTCCATGAGGAAATATTGTAGTTAGGACAGGGCCTTACTGTGTAGCCTAGGTTAACTTTGACTCATCAGCTTCCTATCTCAGCCTCCTTCCTCAGTGCTAGGGTTGTAGTGTGCACCACCATGCCCAGCTGGGAGAAAGCATTTTGAAGGTGGGATCTGAGTTATGATTAATGGCTACAAGCATGGCATAAATCATTAGATATTCCTTTGTGTATAATCTCTCTTTCTGAAGAGCTATGTGAAGATGAGGTTAATGTTAGTTAAAATACAACCACAGTTCAAAGGCCATCAGAGTGTCTTCTGCTTCAAGTTTATATTACTAGAGATCTTTTTGTAAAGTTAGAGTTTCTTTGAGGGCCAAATTCACATTTAACTTGGTGAATTTAGCATAAAATCAGTGGAGGAGAATAGTGATTTGTTCAATTTGGGTCATGGGTAAAAGAGAAGCTACATGTGTTTTGACACAGCATAACTTAACATTGTTTTGCTAACGTCAATGGTAACATTTGTTTGTAATTTTTGAACATTTCTGTTTAAGAAGTTGGAAAAAAGTGGCTCAGAGATGTCCTGATTCGCTGGGAAGTCAATCTAGAATTTTGCCTTTAGTGCCAAAAATAAATCTCCCAAAGTATGAAAAAATGCTGAAATAAATTTGGCACATAGTATGTTATCATCTCAACACTTAAGAGTGTCATATGAGTAAAGAGGAAACATAAGACCAGAGGAGTGGACCTCTTGAAAGTTTTGCTCTAAAAACCTCAGTATCAATAGTAGAGCCAAGACTAGAGGGTAGGCATCAGAGGCTGTTTGCCCGCGTCCTGGTGTAGCCTGTGACGCAGGATGGAGGTCTCTCCAGGATGTGTCCAGG